TGCAGTTTTGTGGTGCCATGAATTCGTGGGGGCATGATTTTTTAAGTGCTTCCTATAGTCAAAGACATGGTCTACACTATGATGTTGGTTTTATTTCATTCCAGCGTAGAAATCATATGAATTCATGAGGATCCGTCCTATGGAATCATGTTTTTGTGCTGTTGTGGCGCCACGAATCTGTGGGAGGTGATTTTTGTGGTGCCCCCTATATAACACATGGCCTACAATATGATGGTGGTTTTATTTCATTTCAATGTAAAAATTATATGAATTCATGAGGATCTATGTAGATCCAACTTTTACCCTTTTCCACCACAGAATGCACCACAGAAGTCATATGTCCATAGCTCCGTGGCGACACCATTCTACAAAAACATGGTTCCAAAGCAGGATCCTCATGGATACTCAGGGTTTTTCAATTGGGTCACCCCAAACACACCATCAAATCACATAGCACATCCATGGCCACAGCTTGCACCAAAAAAATCATGGGTCCATGGCTTCGTGGTGAATCCATTCTGCAAAAACATGATTCTGAAGCATGGATTCTCATGGATGTTTGGGTTTTTTGTGTTGGGACACTCCAAACATACCATTAAATCTCATATCACGTCCATGGCCACAGCCTGCACCACAGAAATCACAATGCAACGGCTCTGTGGCAACACCATGCTGTAAAAACATGGTTCTGAAGCACGGATCCTCATGGATCCTTATGATTTTTGCATTGTGTCACCCCAATATCACCATCAAATAATAAGCCTTGTCCATGGCCACAGAATGCACCACAGAAATCCAGAGCTCCGTGGCGACACCATTCTACAAAAACATGGTTCCAAAGCATGGATCCTCGTGGATCCTCAGGGTTTTTCAATTGGGTCACCCCAAACACACCATCAAATCACATAGCACATCCATGGCCACAACTAGCACCACAAAAATCACAGATCCTCAGCTTCGTGGTGAATCCATTCTGCAAAAACATGATTCTAAAGCACGGATCCTTATGGATCATTGGGATTTTCATGTTTGGACATCCCAAACATATCATTAAATCCCATATCATGTCCATGGCCACAGCCTGACCACAGAAATCACTGCCATGGCTCTGTGGCAACACCATGCTACAAAAACATGGTTCTGAAACACGGATCCTCATGGATCCTTATGATTTTTGCATTGTGTCACCCCAACATTGCCATCAAATAATATGCCTTGTCCATGACCACAGAATGCACCACAGAAATCATATTTCCACAGCTCCGTGGCGACACCATTCTACAAAAACATGGTTCCAAAGCAGGTTCCTCATGGATACTCAGGGTTTTTCAATTGGGTCACCCCAAATACACCATCAAATCACATAGCACATTTACGGCCACAACTCGCACCACAAAAATCACAGATCCACAATTTCGTGGTGAATCCATTCTGCAAAAACATGATTCTAAAGCATGGATCCGTATGGATCATTGGGGGTTTTGTATTGGGACATACCAAACATACCATTAAATCCCATATCATGCCCATGGCCACAGCCTGCACCACAGAAATCATGGTGCCACTTCATGGCAATTCCATGCCACAAAAACATGATTCCAAAGAACGGATCCTCAGGGATCCTTAAGGTTTTTGCGTTGGGTCCCCCCAACATCACCATTAAATCACATACCTTCTCCATGGCCACAGAATGCACCACAGAAATCACATGTCATGGTGACACCATGAAGCCAAAACATGGTTCTGGAGCATGGATCCTCAAAAATGCTTTGGGATTTTGTGTTGGGACACCCCAAACATACCATTAAATCCCATACCATGGCCATGGCCACTACTTACACCACAGTATTAATGGGTCCCGAGCTTCATGGCAACACCATGCTGCAAAAACATGGTTCCGAAGCACAGATCCTCATGGATCCTCAGTGTTTCTGTGTTGGGTCACCATGTAAAGGTAAAGGTTTCCCTTGCTCGAAAGCCAGTCGAGTCCGACTCTAGGGTTGCAGTGATCATCTCCGTTTCAAAGCCGAAGAGCCAGCGCTGTCCGAAGACATTTCCGTGGTCATGTGGCCGGCACGGAACGCTGTTACCTTCCCACCGAAATGGTACCTATTTATCTACTTGCAATTTCTTGCTTTCAAACTGCTATCACCATGTACTCACCATCAAATCACATATCATGTCTATGGGCACAGCTAGCACCACAAAAGTCATGGATCCATGGCTTTGTGCAACACCGTGAAGCCAAAACATGGTTCTGGAGCATGGATCCTCATGGATTCTTGAGGGTTTTGTGTCGGAACACCCAAACATACCATTAAATCCCATATCATGGCCATGGCCACTACTTGTTCCACAGAATTCATGGATCCACGGCTTCGTGGCAACATGCTGCAAAAATATCGTTCCAAAGCATGATTCCCATGGATCCTCAAGGCTTTTGCGTTGGGTCACAATGAACACACCAACAAATCCCATCTCACGTCCATGGGCACAGGTTGCACCACAAAAGACATGGATCCACGACTTCCTGGCAACACCATAAAGCCATAACATGGTTCTGAAGCGGTAACAGCAGCGGCAACGGGGGGGCCCCACGAAATGTTCCCCCACATCTCTTGAGCCCCGGGGTGGCAGCCTTGGAGTCCTAGGGGCAAATTCCACCTCTCGCGTGTAATGCGCGAGAGATCATTCTGGCTTCCCCAGGTCTTGTTAGGGGCTCTTTAAAAAGTTATGGCTGCTGGCAGCGGCAGCAGCGCTAAAGGCAGTGGCAACGGCAGGGGGGAGGGGCGCGAAATGTTCCCTGTCTCTCTGAGCCCCGGGGTGGTGGCCTTGGGAGTCCTAGGGGCAAATTCCACCTCTCGCGTGTGATGGCCGAGCAGCGTTATCACGCGCGAAAGGTCATTCTGGCTCCCCCAGCACCAGCATAAAGTTTGTGGGGGCTGTGGGGCGCCAGCCCCTCCCCTGAAATTTCCCAGAATGTGCTAAGCCTCCTCTGGGGGCAACCGGTTCCTCCAGCCAGCCTTGCTCCCAGCTCCCCCAACATTGAAAGTGAAGGGTTTCCCTAATTCCCTTCTGCTTTCAAAGACTGAGTTCACCAGATGGGGGACTGGGAGGGAGGGAAGTCAGGGCGGCAGCTTGCTTCCAGCTAAGCTCCACCCACAGCTCCTCCCAGCAGCCCTCACTGTTCTGGAAAGTAGCTGGAGGGAGAGCTGCACGTGGAGACCGGCTGCTTTTTTTCCCCACCATAGAGAACAATGGAGGGGATAGGGGCAACCTTTTTTGGGGCCCGTAGAATTGGACCCCCTGGTTCAATGTTCCTGAAACATGGCGAGTATCTTGGGGAGAGGCTCCAGCAGCTACCCTGCGATTTTGGAGCCTCTCCCTCAAACCCCCTCTTCTCCAACCCCCAGAATATACCCTATGTTTTCGCCATTGACTTCAATGGCCCATAGGATATAATGGGGCCGAACTGCTGGAAACCGATTCTTCTGCTTGCCCACCGCTCGCCTCTGCACCTCATCTTCTGTCAGGCATGGAGGAGCCCAGCTCGCCCAGGCTTCTTGCCTCCTGCTGCTTTGGCAATGCCTCTGCCTCTGGCCCAGCCCCCCCCCCACCCCGCCAGGAAATTGGAAAGTCTACGCCCTTGTCCCCCAGGTCTTCTTAGGGGCTCTTTAAAAAGTTATGGCTGCCCGGCCACAGCACTAATGGCAGCGTTGCCGCTCGGCCATCACACGCGAGAGGTCATCCTGGCTCCCCCAGGTCTTGTTAGGGGCTCTTTAAAAAGTTATGGCTGCCCGGCCACAGCACTAATGGCAGCGTTGCCGCTCGGCCATCACACGCGAGAGGTCATCCTGGCTCCCCCAGGTCTTGTTAGGGGCTCTTTAAAAAGTTATGGCTGCCCGGCCACAGCACTAATGGCAGCGTTGCCGCTCGGCCATCACACGCGAGAGGTCATCCTGGCTCCCCCAGGTCTTGTTAGGGGCTCTTTAAAAAGTTATGGCTGGCGGCGGCAGCACTAATGGCAGCAAGGTCATTCTGGCTCCCATGAACCTTGTACAACGTCTAGTGTCAATTTGGTTGGTCTTTATAAAAGTATTTCTTTTTAAAAAAGTGTTTTTTATAACAATATATACAACAGTACAATCATAATACATATTAACACACATATTAACACTATGCAATAATCAACATTTTCAGCCCTTTCTAAGGCTACTGAGGTCAATGAGCTTAGAATGGGGTAACCTCTGTTTAGGACTGCACTGCTAGCATCAACAAGCATTGCAAAACAGCATTTCGGTTTGTGCACTTGCATGCTCAATAGTAATATTTTGCCTGCAATCCAGAATAAGACCCATTTAGTCCACTGAGGTATACCTCGAAGTAAATACACTCAGGATCGAGCTGTTTAGATAGAAAATCAGGAAATGTATACAAACTAGATTTTTTTTTTGCAAATGTAGTCTCATCTCACACATATTCTTTCACTGCAATTGTCAGCTTTTTAAATGTTCCCACTCAGGATCGAGCTGTTTAGATAGAAAATCAGGAAATGTATACAAACTAGAAATTTTTTTGCAAATGTAGTCTCATCTCACGCACATTCTTTCACTGCAATTGTCAGCTTTTTAAATGTTCCCTTGGGTACTTGAGCAGAGCGGCAAAGAAAGCGGGAACGGGCTACACCCTGTTGCTTGCGCATGCTCTGTTTATAAACTTGAAGTACAAAAAAGGAGGGTAATTCCTCGATACTCCGTCTATTAGATCCCGTCGCGTCACAATCGCCCGTTCTTCCAATGAGAAGTGGTGTTCTAACGCTGGAAGGAGGGACGAAGCTACGGGGTTGGCTGCAGCTTCTAAGGCAACTTCCGAGCTGTTACCGGTAGTGGCCGTTGCAAAACCCCTCGTTGAAAGTACTGGGCGTGGCCTCGGTTTCCTGTTAATTTCTGGGTCCTAGCGTCTGGATTGTACTTGCTGGCTTTTGGGGTTATTCCTGGCAGTGATTTCATATGACCTTACTGGGTCCCTCGAACCTGTAGGCGCGGCGGGAAGGTATGAAGAAGGGATCATCCCGGGTGAGAAGTGACAGGCTTGCTTGAGGAGTGGTACTGGTAGATAGAGGTGGCTTGAAAGGTGTGTTTGTTTGCTTTTTTGGAGAGTGTAGGTGCAACAAAGTTCAACTCTTTGGGGTATGGAATATTAAGTTCAGCAAGAAAGGTTGTCGGGTGGTGTGTTCATCTATTTGGAGTGAAAACGTGTGACTTTGTCAACGTCGTTCCGTAATGCTTCTGGTAAATGAGTAGGAGCAACAGTTTAAGAGCGAGGGAGAAGCATGATAATTTAACACTGTTACCTGTTGCTGGCTGGGTTTCTCCTGATTTGGACGACTGGCAGAAGTTCTTCAGAATATAGTCTTTCCTAACTCAGAGCTTCCGAGTGGAAAGCTTTGTCTGTTGAACAGCTGCCTGCTGTGTAACTGTTTATAGATAAAGGGGGCGTGTCATTAAAAAAAACCCTTACAATGCTAGCTAATTCTGACGAGAGGTCGTCTACCTGGTGTAGTATTGTCGTGCCTCACTTCCCAAGCGTTTTGGAATGTTTTGCTTTAGGGCGCGTGTTTCGTTATCGTTTAGAAAATACATCTCTGTCCTACAAAATTGCATGATTGTTGAGTGGACCTTAGCTGCCTACTTCCGATCACCGTTCATTCAGCCTGTAGATTCCTAATATATGCCACGAAGGATTTCAGGTAGTCATTCGTATAATTTGATCTCCAGCCGGTTTCGTTTCTTTCAAATAGTTGAGTAGGCCACCTAACAACCTGTCTGAACACAGAAGCAAAGCTAGCGATGGTTTGTTGTGATTGCAAACACTAAGTGAGGTGGTCCTTTAATCACAGCGCCTGGTTGGGTATTGGATGCATACTACACCCCCTCACACAATGGCGTTTATTCTTTATTAAGTTTATATGCTTGTATTTTTAGCGCTGCTGAATTATGATGTTTTATTGTTTGAGTGGTATTGTTGGTTTACTGATGTTTATAATGAGAATTTGATTATTTTTGTATACTGCCAAGAAAACCTTTTGCTTAAGGGGGTGGGGGAATACCTTCAAGAGTTCAAAACTGTAAGACCTGACCTGTTCAGTGATGGACATTGTCCAAACAATTTGTGATGTGAAATAGCTTTATAGGACTATGATTTGTTTAGAAGCAAAGCACAGTAAGAAGATTAGTTAAACGTTATGCCACTGCTTCCAATGATATCTAACTATTATTTTCTAGCTATGCAGAAAGACTTGTTTTACAGTGCCATTTGGGGTATTCTGTTTAAGTGAGCAACAAAATTAGTTGGTCATCTGAGTCAAATTGAAGCTATAAGCATGCAAAATTAGATGCCTAACAGTGATAACAAGAACAAAGTTTGAGTCCAGTGGCGCCTTTAAGACCAACAAAGTTTTATTCTAGGTATAAGCTTTTGTGTGCATGCTCACGAAAGCTTATACCCAGATTTAAACTTTGTTGGTCTTAAAGCCACTGGGCTCAAAATTCGTTCTGCTGCCTCAGACCAAGACGGCTACCTACCTGAATCTATCTTAATTTTAACTTAAGTTAATGGCTTTAAAATGTATTACTTTTTTTTGTTGTCAAAAAATTAAAATGTATTACTTTTTTGCTGTCCTAAATGTTCAGCAACTCAATTGGGAAACACGCTGGTGGTACTGAGAGCAAATGCATTTGTACTCCTCCATGAAGCCCACTGGGCCAGTTATTCTGTCTCATCCTAATCTGCTGTTTACACCATTGTCCCCTTCTCAATTTTATGCTTACAACAACCCTGTGAGGTAGGTGAGGTTGAGAGTATGTAACTGGCCCAAGGACACGTAGCATGCTTCCATGGCACAGATCCTAGTCCAGTACTCTAACCATTACTATACACTGGCCACTATGCCACTGTCATTGAAGATCTCCTTGAGGAGCATATAATAAGCTTTCTGGGAGCTCCAAGGTCCCTAGAGCATGAAAACCACATAGCTTAGATTTGAATTACTCTTTAGTACTTCAGTCGTCCTTGACTTCGGAAAAGTTTTATTGACATAAAATGGAATTTGGAAAAATTTGAATTAGTCTGCAGGGCTAAATTGTGCAGTAGTTTAATAGCTGAGTGAAAGTTTAGGGTTACAGTTGCTCTTTTACTGCTTCATGTATGTCTCGTTACCTTGTCAAATAGCGTATCATTTCTATTTTTAAAAAACCACAAAACATACAGGAGGAAATGTTGCTGTGGCTTTGTATACAGCTACACCAATAATCTGATCCGACCCAAGTTTAATCAGCAGAATGGTCAACTCAAGTTCACTTGAGAATTAATTCTGAATAAATTTACATAAGATCAGGCTGAAAGTATAGATGTTATTCTGTCAGTTCTGAAAGGTGGACACAAGATGGTGTTTTCAACTCAAGAAATAAAAATGTATTATTGAAATAAAGTTTTATTCCAGTGGCACTTTTAAGACCAACAAAGTTTTATTCAGGGTATAAGCTTTCATGTGCCAGCACAATTCTTCAGATACAGTGAAACAGAATTTCCTCAACCATTACATATAGGAAGAGGGGGGAGGGTTAGTTGCCAGGATGGGCCAATTAGAGTCAAGACAAAGATAGAAACAAAAATGGAAATTACCAGTCCATGTATATAGGTAGAGGGTGAGGTATTATTGGAATGCATGTGTTATTGGAGTGCATATGGTTATAAAAGCACCATTGAGATTACGCAGGTAAAGCAATGTCTGCAATACCCTGTGTTCTGTTCTGGTTTAGAATGGGCATACTTGTTACTTGTGCCAGTATACTGTCACAAACTATACTGTTCTGATATTACAATCAGGTACATAGGCATAAATGTTCAGGATCCAAATGCAAATAGAAGTTTTTTGATTTTTTTGAATACCTGGTGAAATAACAAGGGGGGGGGAATGGCATCGGAGGAATGATGATAAATGATTGTGGGTTTTTATGTCTGAAAGTTGTCCAGTATTACAGTACTGAAAAGTATGACATGATATGTACCCCCCCCCCCACCCCAGTGATCTGGCTTCATGCATGTCAAAGATTTCATGCTTTGTATCAAGGTAGTAAGTGTGTGACAGAAACATTTAGATTGCTTTCAGGCGAAGTCCTAGTTTTACAGCCACTTAGAAAAGCGAATAGTTGTTCTCATTACAGTAATAGTCTTGGATATTTGCTTCACTGGTATAGCTTTGTCTCTGTACCATTTTCCAGTTCTTATTTCCAGATTTCAAAGTCCCCCTATCTCCATTGAAGTTTCTTGAAGTTTTTATTGAATTCTTTTGTACCCTGCCTTTCTCCCCAATGGGGACCCAAAGCAGTTTTCATTGTTCTCCTCTCCTACATTGTACCCTCACAAACAACCCTTTGGGGTTGGTTAGGCCGAGAGAGTGTGACTGGCCCGAGATCACCCAGTGACTTCCATGGCATGAGTGGGGATTCAAACTGTATTTTATTTAGAATAAACTTGCCTTATTCCAAAGGCTTGATATAGATGACTGTGTATATAAAGCAGCCTTCTTTGTTATGCGGAGTTCTCCAGTTTAAGCATATTCAGAGTAATAGATTTAGTCTGGAATAACTCTGTATAGGATTGTCCTGTAATTCTCAAACGAATGGAGATGGCCCAAGTTAAGAGACAATCTGAACAAGTATATAGATACCCTACAGTAAATACAGACACTATGAACAATCCCTTTCCTTTCCTCCATTTTTTGCTTGCCCTATTCACTTCTACCCTTGCTTGCTTCCCGACATTCTAGCCTACTTCCTCTTACCAAACATCCTCAATTTCTTATACAGAAAGACCACAGAGGCCTCAGGTTGCCAACTTCCAGGGTAGAAAATACAGAAAACTGAAGGTCACAGTATTAGGAAGATATGCAAAAGTATATAGCACTGTGTATAATAGATGTATGTTCAAGGTAAATCAATTTTGTGCTTTTTATTTTTATTTTTCTATTTTTCTATACTGTAATATAAATATTGGTATCAAATATTATCAAAACTAGGTTTTACCCAAACAAAACATCAAAGTGCAGGTTTACATTCTGTTCAAATATTCAGACAGCACCTTGTCAGTATCACAATCACAAGTGATACTGACAAGGTGCTGTCTGAATATTTGAACAGAATGTAAACCTGCACTTTGATGTTTTGTTTGGGTGAAACCTAGTTTTGAAAATTTCCATGTTATGGGGATGAATTTTGTGCAAGAGATTCAGAAAGGCCCAGCAAGTGTGTAGGTTAGTTCTCTGGATTGTGACTATAGATTTATGTAAGGCTTTGCCCAATAGTATTTGGTTCTGTGAAGGCAGCACTGTTTCAGTGGCTCATTATATATGAGTAAATGTGAATTATGGTTTTGTTAAGAAGAGAATGTAATTAGCCACATAAATGTATGTATTTTAGATTTTAGTGTGTCCTCAAGATTTGTGGGAGAAAGCATTGTTTGTCTTCCTTTGATGTAGCCAGTTTGGTGTAGTGGTTAAGTGCACAGATTCTAATCTGGAAGAACCCGGTTTGATTCCCCACACCTCCACTTGCAGCTGCTGGATGACCTTGCGCAAGCCATAGTTCTGTCAGAGCTGTTGTCTCAAGGACAGTTCTGGAAAGAGCTCTCTCAGCCCCACCTACCTCACAGGGTGTCTGTTGTGGGGAGGGGAAGGGAAAGGAGTTTGTAAACCGCTCTGAGACTCTGAGTGAAGGGCGGGGTATAAATCCAATCTCTTCTTTTTCTTTAGCTGTATCAATAGAAATTATGAGGATAGTGTTCATTGTTGAGAGAATGTAGACAAAAAGAAAATAATTGTCATAACTTCTCTAATCAATTGTATGACTCCTGAAATTAAATCACAAGTTTCTTTGGTAACGAAAATAAACTGACACATTGGCTCAATTCAGATGTCATACTAAACCATTCTTTAGTCAAACTAACTATGGCTAACGGACCATCTGAACATGGACCTGTCACAAACCAGCTGC